TCCATCCCAACAGTGCTAACCCCCCAACGCTCCTACAATGGGGAATGTCATCCAGCTGCTCTGGGAGCACACTGGGAATGGGGAATGCCATCCAGCCAGCCCTGGGAGCACACTGGGAATGGGGAATGCCATCCAGCTGCCCTGGAAGGCTCTGTCCAGAGCTCAGGAATGCACAGCAGATGCCTGCTCCTGGCATTTTTCCTGGGTTTGAACGAGTCTGTTTGTATTCCACACAGCTGCTCATCCTTTCTCATGGCATGTGTCCTATTACAAAGCATTCCAGAGGCTAAATTTAGGGGTGGAGTTTTGGAATAATAAACATCCGAAACAAAATATTTCTACACAAATTAGTGTTTTGTTCTCCCACTTTGTCTCCATGCAATAGGAACCAGCTAATGATCCTCAAAAGCAGGGTGGAAGGTTTTCACCAGAACTGGGGGTACATTATCAGCAATGCAGAGCTGCAGGAGCCTGGACAGGAGGGCCTGGGGCCTTCAGCAAAGCCACTGTGGTTGGTTCTGTGGTAAATATAATACCCACATCACTTAAACAAACACACCAGATCTAAACCAACCAGATTCTCCATCCCTAAACAGCAGAGTCAGAACCCTGCTTTGAGAGCCCACAGCAGATCCTCCGTACTGAAAAGTCATCCCCCAACTATTAACAATAAACATAAACCATCATACACCTTCTGTTGCTTCTCTGAGAAGGTAAATGGTGCAAAGTGCCTCCCCAGGGCTGCTGTGCACAGTGTGCTTCACGAGGCAGTGCCAACATCCCAACAAACTATTTCACACTAGTATTAGGCAGTGGTGAAAGCCAAGCAGAGCTTCAGCAAAGCACCATTTACTGATCCCTCCTCTGTTTGGAGTGCAGGTTGAAGCAATCTGTTGACAGCTTAATCATCCTCCTGTTTTCCCCCTGGCACATACCTGCATTTCCTTCTTCCCCAAAATCTGGGGGCAAAATTTATTTTCTTTGTAAAAAGCCACAAAAACCAGAAAGCAAAATGAAACCAGCCAAGCATGGTGCCCAGGAGCTGCCTGCATGCATCACCATGGCTGGAGCTTCATCTGTGCTGCAAATGCTGGCAGTGTCAGAACTCATCAGTTCAGTGACTCAACAAGAGAGGCACAGCAAAGCTGGGCCTTCTGTTCCTTGCCCAATGCTAATATTACATAAATGCTGTCTTTATTTGCAGTTTCATTCATAATCCCAGCAGTGCTGCCCATTCAGAGGTTGCTGAGCCAAGTGAGCTCAGCAGAGTTGAGCTGAGCTGCTGCAGTTGATTTTCTGCAGCCCAGTGCAGAGGAAAGCTCAGCTCTGCCCTGGCAGGGTCTGGCTTTTCCCTCTCCTGCTTTGCTGGGTAACTTTGGACTCACACTTGGAGCACTGCACTGGACTGCACTGCCAGGCTGAGCTTTACACAATGTGCATGAGCTTCACCCTTTCCAAACAGCACCTGAGACCCTCCCAGGGAAAATGCTACTGGAGTACAAAGCACTGCCCATCAAACTGCTGAGCACAACCTATGTTTATAGGAAGTGTACCTCTTATTTTCCAGATAACTGATGGCAAAGAAGGCTACATTGCAATGGGTGTATGTGTTGGGACCCAGGACATTCCTCTGGCTGCCCTGGGTGATTCCAGACCCTGTCAGGGGGCTCAGAGACCTTGGCATGGAGTCACAAACACCTGTGCCTTCAATTTTAACCCATGGAAACAATTCCCAACTTTGTGTGAAGAGTTACAAGCCACAATAGTTTGAGCAGAATGACAGTGAATTTATCACAGGGTGAAAAAGTAGAATTTTGGGGTTTTTAGAATGGGGGTTCAAGAGGCAAGATGGAGGAATCCCGTCCTACTTCTTCTTGCCCTCCATCTCCTGCTGGAATGGTGGCACTTCTGGATTGGTTTAGAGTAGGAACACACTGCCTAACATAGGTGATAGGTATTGAAAAATTATTGTAAATAAAGTACAGGTAGTTCGTAATATAAAAAGCCAACACCACCCCAAGGGCAGGGACCGTGCCACAACCTGGACAGATCTCAGCAGGTCAGAGAAAGAATGGAACAGATAAGAGAAAATAAATAACCTTGGAAAGCAGAACCAACGAATCTCAACTTCTTCTTTGGTCACAGGGCTGGGTAAAAAGAGACTTTCTGATACCTCGGGAGCCATTTCAACCACAGAAACCTGAGATATACATACCAAAATACCCAACAGGATTTCTCAACAGGTTCTTATTTTTCCATGTGGTCCAGGACTAGAGACATCCTTTACAAAAATTTAAATGAATTCTAAATCAGTTCTTCTATTGTCAATGTCTGCCAAAGAGAACAGTTTAGTGAATGTCACAGCTCCCAAACCAGAAGCACAGGCTGGGTTTTAGCATTAAATCTCAAAGCATTTAGAGCAAAACTTGTCCCTTAGCTGTCAAACACTGCCAGGACAGTCTTTCAGCAGAGCCTGCTGGGCTGTTCATACTGAGAACTGGTAATGACTCCTGTATTGCAGGTGCACAAATAAAAACTCCTTCAAAGACACTGCATTTCCTACCACTATGAAGCAGTAATTAAAAATAAATCATGTTTTACACAGGTCTAAAGAGCCCTCCACATCTGGCTAATCTAAGGTGAGATAATTAAAACCAGACACGATTTGGAAGTGAGGACACTTACTGCTAAATGTCCTCCAGCTTTGCACACATCAGCTTCTACAACTTGTGATGTCTGAAAGTAAAACTGTTTTAACAGTCTGAAACTGTCACAGGAATGTAAAGATTTTAACTAAAAGTTACCTTGGTGTACTTGTGAAGTCCAGTGTGCAAAATCCACTTCTAAAGTGCAGCTTATAACTTATTTTTAGTAGTGAGAAACCAGTTAAAAATAAGTTGAAAAAATATCTTTAATGGAAAATTCTACCCATGCAATGACTCATACAATTAAAAAGCCAATTTTTATTGTATTTTTGTAGCTGTCTGTAAGCATAGTATTTTTTTAAAGAGCAAAGAAACATTTCCTCAAGAGAATTTAAGTGATTTTATTTTGCTCACCGTTTTATGTAAATTGTAACATCACCACTTATATACAAAATCAGTTGAGTAGATCAGAACAGCAATGATTTCCTCAGCAGGCAATCATGACCGAGCAGACAAACACTGATTCACCACTTCCAGCAGGTGAGAGTTTTCCAAAGCAGCTGCCACCCTCTCCTTATCAGCGAGCTGTTTGTTAACTGCAGGAAAAACCCACAGCAAACATCAGGACAGAGGCACTGGGTGTGCTGAGCTGAGAGAGCACAGCTCAGGGTGCTGCAGGGCTGGGGATGCCCAGGGCACCCCGGGCTCTGTCTCTGCCACAGCTGCTCCTCAGGTGGGACACAAGAAATCCACATTTCCTCCCCTTTTCCACGTGCTCAGGCACATAATCAGTGACTGACTGAGAGCACAGCCTGAGGAGGTGTTTAGAGAACACTGCAGCCCAATCTCAGTGACACTCTGTGATCCCGCTGTGGAACATCCCCCAGGATCTGGCACAGAAAGTCCCAGACACGGAGCAGATGCTCTGCAGCTGTGGGTAATTTTCAAGATTAAAACAAATATGAAGACCACACAAGAGAGGACTAAAAGCCTTACCTGCGTGCTCAGAGGCATGTGTTCCTGGAGTTATGTGAACATCCAGCTGAAACAGCAGCACACAACAAACAGGGGACGAGTTCAACAAAACATTGGCAGATTAAGTTGAAACTAATAAAAATGAAATAGCGACAAAAAGCAGGGAGAAGGGACATTCTTGCCACTATCAGTTAGTCAATATAACAGAATAAAATAAAAGTCTAAAATTGCAGAGTATTCTGCATTTGCAGGTGCCTAAGCTGCTCCAGAAAGGATGAGAGCTGCCCTCCTGCCTGGCACAGAGCATGCAGTGATTGCCCTCAGACCCCCTGGCCATGACAACAGCCCCAGAACTGCGTGCTGGTATTTCACCCACTGCCCTCTCTGCTTCCTGCAGGGTCCCTCACACAAAACTAAAAAAAGCTCTAGTTATTTTTCACTGCAAGCTTGGTTTTTTCCTGTTTTTTTTTTTAATTTTTCCAAACACATCCCCCACTTCTGCTTTGATCCCCACCTTGAACCTCTCGGGCAGCGAGCGGAGCAGCTTGACCTTGATGGAGAGGCCGATGAGCGTGGCCATGCTGCAGTGAGGGATGGTGGGCGTGAACTCCACCGACACCGTGCTCTGGGCATCGTCCACCTGTGGGGACACTGCTGTCACCGCCACAGCACCCAGCCCGCAGGGCACTGCGCTGGCACCTGGCAGTGCTCTGCCTAGGTGCTGCTGGAAATACAGTTAAACACTATGGAAAACACTATCAATATATTTAAATATTATAAAATATTATGTATCATTACTATGTAAATACTATGTTAAATATATATAATATTATACATATTAAATTATAATATAAACATTAAAACTATACACAATCTAAATATATTTAAATATTATATATTTAAATAATATAATATAACATAACATAATATAATATAATATAATATTATATTATATTATAATTGGTAAAATTATAACTATTCTAAATATATTTAAATATTATATATTTGAATATTATATTGTATTATATTACATTATATATTGGTTAATATATACATAATGTATTATAATTAATATATATTATTTCATATATATTGAATAATTTAAAAATATTATACATTATTATATTTATTATTATACTTAATATAAATTATCAATTATATGTAGTATTATTATTATGCATTATTTAATATGTAATTAATATTGTGTTATATATTAAATATAATATTTAAATATTATATAATAATTATTTAATTATTATTTAAATATTATATATTTAAATGTGTTATATTTATATAAATTATCATTATTCGAAATATATTTACATATTTATATTTAGATATTATATTATATATTACTTAATATGTAAAATAATTAAAATATACTATTTAATATATATTGAAGTTTTAACATATTATACATTATTATATTTATTATTATACTTAATATCAGTAATCAATTTTATGTATTATTATATATTATTTGATATGTAATTAATATTGTGTTACATATTATTAAATATTATAATATTTAAAAATTGTATTATTTACTTGTTTAATTGTTATTTAATTATTATTTATACATATTATATTATATTATATTATATTATATTAT